GAGAAGCAGCCGTATAGGTCCCTCGTAACACTTCTAGGCATCCGGCCCCCGCCTCCCGGCTCCCTCCCGCCCGCCGCGCGCCCGCAGCGCCGCCCTCTCCCCCCACACAACCCGCGCGCCCGCCCTTCCCATTGGCTGAGCCGAGCCGAGCGCTCCCCCCACCCCAGCCCCTCGCTCAGCCCAGGAGCCCCCGGGACTCGCGCGCCCCAAGAGGGGGAAGGGACCCTTAGGTAGGGGAACCGTGAGGACAGGTGCGACGGCCGGCCTTGAGGCGGCCAAGGAGGAGCCTGGGGATTCCGCCCCCGCCCCACCTCCCCCCACTCCCCGCTGGAAGGACCGAGGGACCTGACTTGAAGGGAGAGGGCCGATCCTTTATGCCCTGGTCCCCCACCACGCCGAGCACGGGCTCTTACACACAGCTGGCGCTCAGTGCCCGCTGCAGGTGACACGGGCGAGGCCTGGGCCCTGGGAAGACGAGCCCAGGGTCAGGGGAGACCCGAGAAATGTGAAGGGCAAGACAATCTGGAGGCCTAAGGCCACCGAGATTTGAAATAAGGGTGGGTGAGATTTAGGAGGGGCACGCAACCAGAGCAGGGGCACCCAACGCGCGCGCGCGCACACACACGCGCGCGCACACTCACATACACACACACACCCCTCCCCGGGGTTACTCCAGGCCCTTCTGCCCAGAGCGGGACATTCTGACAGGAGTTTCAGCCTCCTAGCCTCGGGATCAAAGAGAGGCCTCTGAACGCGAGGTTCCAGCCTGGGGATCCCCTTGTGCGAGCGGCCCGCCCTCCCTCTGCTGCGCGGGGCCAGCGGTGCAGGCCCAATCGGCGGACTCGGGGCCCTGCGGCGCTGCGGCGGCCCAGCCCCTCGGAAAACCCTGGCCTAGCCGCAGGCCCCTCCCCGCGGCCGGCTGGCTCACTCCAGCTACAGCTCCCTTATTTAGGCAAGGAGGCCTGAGGATGCTCAAGGGCAGGCAGGGTGTCTGCCTGCCGCCTGCCCACCGCCTGCCTGGGTCTGACTGAGGGTCTCCGGGCGCAGTGTCCCCGGCCTGAGCAGCCAGGCGGGGCCTCAGGACGGCCAGGGCCGGCAGGCGAGTGTTGACAGCTGAGCTGGCCGGTGGGGCATAGTCGGCAACTGAGCTGCCCCCCGCGGGTCCCCTCCCCTGCAGCCCAGATCAGAGACGGGCCAGATGGATGGGGCCATGTGGGGGCCCCTGAGGGTTTGCAGCTGCCTCTGTCCTTGGAGCAAGGGGGTGGGTCTTGTCACCGGGGAGAACCATCCTGGGATGCGGGGGGAGGGGAGGAACAAAGGGCAGAGAAGGAAGCAGAGTCTGGCAAGAGAAAGGCCCAGGGGAACAGGTCTTGGTGAGACCACCCTACCCAGACTTTCACCTTCCACCCAGGAGCAAAAAGAGCCAAACCCTGGGGCCAGATGGGGCGACTGGCCAGCAGATGACACCCCTTTTTAATTTGCTGGTGGGTGGGCAGTGACTCAGGGAGGCAGCCAGTGGGAGAGAAGGGGGTGGCTCCACCAGCTGATGCTAAAAAAGACCAGAGGCTCTTATCTGTACAGTCATCCCCTCGGCCCTCTCCACCTCCGGCAGCTTCCTCACTCACACTTCAAGATGCCCAAGGCCTTCTGTGGCACAGACTCCCCTTCCTCTGTGACCTGGCATCAGGCACATCAACCCATCTGGGTACTGGGAGGAACCTAGTTGATGACTGGTCCAGCTCCTCCCCCGCCCCGGGACCACCCCCTGGATGCTGCTTTGACTGCACTAAGTCCAGCGTGATTAACCTACGACTGGGGTGTCTTCCCCTCCAGGTCAAGGGATTGAGAGAGTGAGAAGGGGCCTGCAGTGAGAATGGGCATGGGAAGAGAGGCAGTAGACAGGGGCATCTCATCTAGCCTGGCCAGCTGTCCACACTGAGGTTCCCATGTTCCCAGGACAGGCCTCTGCTCTTATCCCTCGGGGGGATGAAGGAATCAGAGGGACCACTGATCCTCCCAACAGAGAGGAGACTGGACACAGAGTAGCCCTCGTACTGTGTATTCCCCCCCCCCCCTCTCTCTCTCTCTCACACACACACACACACACACACACACACACCCCTCGGAAGTCAGAGCTGAATGCAGATTTCTGCCTTCCTGGAGGCTGAGGAGACAGCCTGAAGGTAGCCTCACGGAGCCCCTCCCACAGCCAAGCCTGCGACAAGCAAGAGAGACTGTGAGATGGGGATGAACTCCTCCAAAGCTCCTCCACACATCCTTTGTGTGGCCACAGGTACCAGCCCCCAAGAGGTAACGGGCAACAGAGGAGCTGATAGAGAAGCCTCCCTGCCACCCCCTCCCCACCTCCACTAACCTCAGATCCCTCAGAGAGAGGAATGTGCTCAACCTTAATACCCGAGCCGCCAGAACCCGCCCGGGCCCCGCTGGGGCTCAGTGAGCCATTTGCAGGGATCAGTCCTAGGAAGAGCTGCCCCCACCCGGCCTGTGATGTGACTGTGCTGAGGCAGCGAGAGGCTGTACCAACTGTGAGACCCAGAGGCACTTCCCAGCTCCTAGAAAGAGACAGTTTGGGGAGAAAAGTCTTTGGAAAACATCCTGCCCACCCCACTCTCCACTCCTGTTCACTGTGAGGTATCCTGTCCTGGGAAGTGAAAAGGGATTGAAGCCTGCCCCTGCCAGTGTACCCCCAAGGGACGGGCCAGGCAAGCTGCAGCCAGAATGGGGCCCAAGAGAGCAAGTGACAATCATAGGGGACCAGGAAGCCGTTCCAGTCAGGTGGGCGCAGCAAAGACAGCTCATGGAATGGCTCCTCAGAAACCCCATGGGGAAGCACGTGGGACCGTCCCTCGCTGTGCCAGGGGAGGCTTAGACAGCACGGCGGGGCCTGTGAGAAGGAAGATGTTCTCAGAAATGAACTGGGGTTGGAAGAGAGGAAGATCAAAGAAACAGCATGTTTCCCCTCCAGAAGTGGGTGCCCAGGGCTTGCTGAGAAGAATAGAAGGGACGGAGAGAGGGAGGGAGGGAGGGACCCACCACAAAGCCCTGGCCAGGAGCCAGAGCTCTGGCCATTCATGGCCACCTGCAGCTCCACGTGCAGTGATCCTCTGAACTCCCAGCCATAGGCAAGGGCTTCTCCCACCCACCTGATACCCTCCATTGATGGGGCTTTTCCCCTGCCGTGGTAATATCCAAAGAAGCAAGTAAGGCACTGGAGAACACCTAACTTTCAATTCTGGTTCTGCTACTAGTCGCATCAACAGATATTTACTGGGGGGCTCATATGTACTGGGCCCTATGCCAGATGCTGTGACGGACGGGAGGGACAAGCCAGGTTCCCTCCTCCAGGGATTCATAGAATGCTGAAGCTCGAGAGAGGTGGTGTGCAGACAGAAGCTGTGCAATCTGAGGTAAGTGCCGTGGGAGTGCGAGGAGGTGTCGATTATTTTCCGCTGGAGGAGTCCGGG